GACTAACCCTAACTTAACAACCTGCGGACATGCTTATAAATTGAAAAAAATGTTTTGTAAGACAGATGTCCGAAAAAACTTTTTTAGTACGCAATTCACAAATATGTAGAGTAATCTACCATCTGAAATAGTGTGTTAAACATCTGTTGTCTTCAGGGTGTATTTACTATGGCTCTTTAGCCGTAGTAAAGCCAACCTATAATGGAGATTGAAAACACTGATATAACTATTCATTTACGTTATATTTAAATAAGAAAATGTTATTATGGAAACCTTTTTAAACCACGCAAATTTAAAAATTCATTTTCTTTTACTAACCAATTATTAAACTCTACTTAAAATACAAAGCAATTACAATTTACTTTAAGAAAAAAAACTCAATATATTTTAGACTAATATTTCAGTTAAAAAAGTAATAATCTGAAAAAAAAGTTAATCTGAGGTTTTTTATATTATATAATTATTTGTTGTGAATTTTTTTAACTGTTTTACTGTTAAACTGAAGATGGCAGCTCTGGCTGAATTTTTTAATGAAAAAACAACATGTGTTCCATGAATGTAACCTATTTTTTGTGGCTGATCAATAAAAGTTTGATGTATTGGTCATATCATTTGCAAGTATCTTACTTTTGGCTGCCATACGTGAAGCTATGCTTCTAAAAGTAACTGGAAGCGGCTGATAATAAATTTTTTTTTATTATTTGGTAATTGCTTATTTACAATTTTGTTTTTGCTTGTTTAATTTTAAGTTACACATGTACAAGATGCTAATGATCTAAACAGCTATATTTGACTCTAATACTGTTCATTGTTTAGTATGGTTTCATCTTTTCTTTATATTATTTTTGACAGTTAAGAAACTGCTTTAGAACGCAAATGTTAGAGTTGAAATCAAGCGTTAAAACTGCTGTTGATAGTGATGAAGATAAACTATCTATGCCTCAAGCTTAAAAAGTTGCAGGTTACAAAAAAGTGACACCGATGATATTGTACATCAGTTTTTCAAAGATAGAAGAAATCTTTAGTTTTTTAGGGTTTAGTGTCTTCGCAGGCCTTATGGCACTAGATGTTTAGAATGTGCAATACCATGAATCAGTGAGTATGTATCAGTAAATTAATATTAGTTAATAGTTTTCGGAAACAGTTCCATGTACTATTAAAAATTCTATTTTTTTTTAAATATGATACATTCATATGAAACATACAAACAAATGATACAATATGATACATGATTGTTTATAAATATAATGTATAAATGAATGTTTTATACATATGTCTATTATATTTTGTTTTGACTTTTATCTTTTATGCCCAGTTAGCAATGTATTTTGTATAGTAATGACTACTAATCTAAGATATCTATGACATCTTTACGTTGTATTCACTACAGCTTTTTGCTGTGGCAAATACAACCAATTTTGGAGAACTTTATACTACTCTGTTATTGTGGTCAAGGGTAGGCGAAATTCACAAGCCTGTATCAAATTCTGGATGGTATTCTTCCTAGTGTTACATTATAAAAGTTTTATAAAAAAAATCAGTCCTAATCTGCAATAAAAGTTGACCCGTCAACATTATTAAACAGCATTATTTGGCACAGTTTAATTGAAACCCGTCTAATACATACACATAAGAGGATCCATTAAACTTTTAGTACAACCAATTATATTACATTTGTTTTTTTATTTTAGATAAACTTTCTTACTTCGGTTGGAGGAGATGAGAAACAACTTACAGCTGATGGCCAAAGAAGTATGTTTTTCATAATCAATTTATGGAAGGAAACAAAAACGTCCTGCAAGGTCGTTATAGGTAAAACACAATATTTGTATTCTACATCCCATTTCCTTTTAATAAACAAATATTTTAATAAAAGCTAATTATTTACAATATTTATACGTGAAAAATTATATATTTCAAAATTATAATGTGATGATATTGAAAAAACATTTTATAGAGTTACGTTTAATCATTTATCGTTGTATTCGTTCGATTCGAAATCGCTACTAAAAAAAAGATTTACAGCTTTCTGGCGACGTTCATTAATAGAAGATTACGGAAGAAAAATAGAACCATAACTGAGCAACGACCAATACTGAGCAATAAAATAAGTATCGACAAAATAATAAAAGTCGATGCCCACTATCTGGTAGTGAGAGTGTAATACAGTAGTTTATAAATATATATATAAACATATATTTTGTGCCTGTATTTAAATGGCATTGATTTTATTTTGTTATATTTTGGTTCTGGAGAACTCTATACCTCTTTTTTTCATTTGTATCTGTTTCATAAAACTTTATATAAACTTAATGTTTCAAATTTATTTTTTACTTAAAGCATGTTCTATGATCATTTTCATCTCTTAGACAATAACCTAATTAACTCAAAATGATAATGCAGCCTAATACAAGAGTATCATTTAAACAATAAAACTTTTATAAATTTTAATTATTAGAAAAATTTGCACTAGGCAATATTTTTAATTATTCTTTAATAATAAAAATTTAATCGAAAATACTCATTATATTACCTTAATATAGGAATAATATTGTAAACTATATTGCGCCAATATTGGCCAGTTTTATATCCCCATTATTGGAGCGATATTGTTTACAATATTGGCGCAATATTTTAAACATCGCGCCCATTTTACAATGTGAACATTTTTCCAATATTGGCTAGTATTGACTTTACAATATTGGAGCAATTTTGTACCCGGTTGTTGGCCAATATTGACTTAACAATATTGGCGCAATATTGTAAGGCCGATATTGGCCAATATTGGCAAAATGTTCACATTGCAGTATATATATATATATATATATATATATATATATATATATATATATATATATATATATATATATATATACACTACTAGTGCTTGATTTACGAGTACATTTTTTTTTCCCTGTTATTCGCAATTTTTATTTCTCTATTTTTACTATATTTTTCATATATGTTCTTTTTTTAATATTTTTATTTTATGTCATGTGTATATATATATATATGTGTGTGTGTTTTGGTTTGCATATATCTTTAGGAGATCGCTTATTGAATTTTTAATAATCTTAGATTAGTAGTCATTACTATACAAAATACATTGCTAACTGGGCATAAAGCTGTCACCTATTAGCTGATTGCTCATGTCATGGCATGCTATGACTCCAGGCTCCTAAACTGTTTGCTGTGGTAGTATAGTTCGTTTCGTTTTTAAGACATGTAAAATTAGCAACACTTTTTAGCATTGTTCGATGTTGGTTGCAAAAGTTTTGTCAAATACTGTATACTATTTTAAAATTTAATTAGACGCTTGTAAAAAGATCATCAAGGATGTAAACAGATAAAAAAGAGGTTAGAGAGGTGTTAAAGTATGCTCCTAATTGACCAGGTGGAGTTAATTAAGAGGTAAATTGAAAAAAAAATTTTTTTTTGCTACCTGTAAAGTTTATTCTTAGATACATCTAAGTAAATTTTTACTAATAACGCATATCATAGTGTTAATCATTTAGTCTGTATAATGAAAAATGTTGTTGTATTTATTTAGGCGAAACTTACAGCAAATGCTCAAAATAAAGATGTGTTGCAGCGACATTTTGAAGAAAGCTCTGACAGTATGGGCTAGTATATGTTATGTTATATGACCAGATCAAAATGCTTTTTTTTAATTGTTAAGTGGCAAGATGTTTAAATGTTGTTAATTGACAAAAAAAGTAAATCCTTCAAATTTTTAAAGCATTTTTCCTATATTAGTTAACAGCTTAATAACTTAACATTTCAACGGTATCTTTATATTAAAAAAAAAAGTTCTTTTAAAGTAGGTCAACCTTGTACTCAAAATAATATAGCAAAAATAATATATTTTGTAAAAATGCACTTTTATGTTTCGTTAAAAAACTGTAGTTTTTATTTAATTAAATCTAAAGGAATAGTTGAATTATTAAATGATTATTTAACTGAAATTTTTACAAAATTTCACCACTTTGAAGATCCAACATGATCTTTTGTATTATTAGAAGGGACCCGTTAAAAAGTAAAGTTAATTATGCTGTCCCTAAAACACATTATTGTGAACTAGTTTCATTCTTTGTGTATAGGTAATTCATAAATAAAACTAGTTTGTTTATCAAATCCACAAAAAGCATTTTTTTTTAATTAAGAATTGTTTTTATTTATTATGATGTATGGTAAGGTTTGATATTTTACATACAACGTGCATGTTTTTTATGTTTTTAGAGAAATTAGTTTTTAGTTGGACTTTTTCCCTGGTATAACATTTATTTTTTATGTTGTTGATGCTGTTTTGTAAAAATTTAGTTTAAATTGATGTAAATTGTTATTTATGCACTATAGGGTGTTAACTAGTACTAATAAATAAACTTTTTCATTGCAAGAAGTATTATTTTTCTTAATTGTTAACAGCTCAGCTAATTGTGTGCCTTTAATCGAAATATATTTTAAATCGCAAATGTAATAGTTAAACCGTGTGTTTTCTTTTAAGCTTTATATGATGTAATTCAGTTATAAAACATGGTGAATTTGTATTTATTTAGTAAAAATAGGTTTTGTAAATTCAAAAAAGCATTTCATTACAAATACTAGCAAACGTAGGTTTAAATAGAATGTATATTTAAGTCTATACATTGAAAAGAAAAAAAAATGTTGGATAAACGTCCGTGTTCGTAACAACACATTTTAGGTGGACGTTTAAAAGCTATCGAAGTAACGTTTACAGCAACGTTTGTTGCTTGTTGTTTCAACGTTCACAGCGAACGTTCAAGAACTGTAATTCGGAGTTCATAAAAGTTAGTTCTAAGAACGTTTGGAGCGTACGTTATTCAAACCTAAACGACCGCTATGGTAACGTTCTTAGAACGTTAATTGTTAGCTGGGGCGGTCCTAAGATTGAGACTTGAGGAACTCCACATTTTATTATACTTTTTGTCGTTTTAACATTTCTATATTGAATGTATTGCTGTCTGTTTGATAAGTATTCTTTAAACCATAGTAAATTATTATTTTTTATTCCATAGGCTTTACACAGATCAATAAAGACTACTAATGTAAAACGGTTATCATAAAAGGCTTTGGTTAAATGAGTTACTAACTTGGTCAAAGCGTGATTAGTTAAATTATTTTTTTTTAAAGCCAAACTGCTTAATGTACAACATCTTATTTACTGTTAAGTAGCTGTTTAGCCGATTATACATTATACGTTCGAGTAACTTAGAAAAGCATGGTAAAACTGAAATTGGTCTGTAATTTAAAGAACCAGTGTCATCGCCAAAAATAGGCAAGAAACATGCAATTTTTAATTTTTTTGGAACTGTTCCAGATTGAAGAGAAATATTAAAAATGTGATGTGAAGAGGTTTCTATAATATGAAAACTGACTTTACAAAATTTATGGTAATATTATGAAAACCTAAACTTGTACTGTTTTTAAGATTATCTGGAGCAGATCGTAACACATTAATGTCTAGTTTAGATTCATCCATGACCTTATCATATGTTTTTAAATAAAAATTGAACGATGGTGAACTTGAAGGAATTTTTTCAGCTAAGTTTGGACTAATATTAAGAAAGAAGCTGTTTAGATTTTCAGCTACTATTGACTTGTCATATATTATTTTACCATCTACTAAGAGTTTCTTTGGTTAAATACTTATTCCATTTTTTTTTCTGCCAATATTTTCTTTTTTACGCTCTCTGTACTTTTGGCATTTCCGTTAATTTTTTTCAACAATTATGAATATTAAATTTTTTTTATTGTTGTTAAGTTTTTTCAAATATATTTTTATAAAGTTTGTTGTTTGTTTCATTTTTATACGTTTTTTTTTAAAGCATTTTTCATACAATTTTTTTTTGTAAAGATTTTAATAAACCTTTAAACATCCATGAAGCCTGATATGACTTGGTATTTATAACAACTTTTTTCCTCAAGAAAAGCTTTTTCATATTGCTTACAAAAAAACTTAGGAAATAGTTCATAAGCATTATTTATCTCTACTGATAGAATAATAAGATCCCAATCAACGTTATATTTTAAAAGGTGTTGAAATTTTTTTAAGGAGTGTTTATTGATCTGCTGCCTGTATATTTTAAATTTAAAAGAAATATTATTAATAGTTATATTATTAGTTATTAAAAAAGTAGGAAAATGATCTCATAAGTCTGTTTTGATTATACTTGTGAAAATATAGTTGTTATAAAAATTGTTAGTGATTGTATTTTCAAGTAAAGTAGAAGAATTCTTAGTTATTCTGTTTGGCTTATTTATTGTTGGAATAACATTATGTTGAAAAAGTTTATCAATAAAATGCTTAATTTTATTTAAAGCTTGTTTTAATAGGTTCAAATTGATTTCGCCGACAACGTAAATATGCTTCCGCTTTTTATTGACTTTATATAAAAATGTGTTTAAGTGAGTTTTAAATTTTTTTAAGCTACCTGATGGCTTTCTATAAATAGCATTAACGATTATGTTTTTTTTGGTTTTATTATAAAGTTCAATGCACAATGACTCACAATCTGTTTCATTAACGCATAGGTCATTACGAGGGAAAAAATTAATTGAATTGTGGACAAAAATACTAATGCTTCTGCCACCATAACTATCACGTGGTTGATGAATTGACGTGTAATTAATTAAATGAAACTGTGTACTTTGTTAATCGCATTTACACCACGTTTCTGTTAGACAAATAATGGAAATTCGTATTTTATTTCGTCCAATAAAATTTTAACATATTTAAAGTTTTTATTTAGACTTTGGATGTTAATATTTAAAATTGAAAATACGCTTTTATTATTTTTAAGATATTGTGCAGATTGGTAAACTGAGTAGTATTTGCTTTCAAAATTCGATTTGTCAAAACAGTCTGTTTCAGTATCATAATCATTAATATTTTCATTAGAAAATTGAAATATTTAAATAAATTGTCCGTTCACGATGAAAGCCAGATGTTGAAATTTTTTACAAAATAAGTTTTGTTTAGATATTACAAACGTTATTGAACACATATTTTTAAAGAGTTCTGAAAAAATTTATAAATACAATTCGTTTTAAAAAACTTTTTACTAAGTGTTGCAATTTTTTTCAATTGCGTTATTCTTCGACATACGTTATAAGCACTTTAAGGCGTTTTGAAAAACAGTTACAGCATATATTTATAGTAAAAGAGTTTATGTAGCATGTTAAATTTGTAATTGTCAAAAGAAAGTTTTTTAAAGCTACGGGCATCTTTTTTTTTTTTGC